CTTCCTGTGCGTGTGTACAATACCTGCGACGCGGTAATATCCGGCGGTGTGGAAATTCGCGGAATCAAGGCTACTTCCATATTCGTCGAAAGCCAGCGGGGAGCCCGTTCTCGAAGAGTACAGATTCATAGCTCATCGCGACGAAGCCGAGGTTTCTTTGCAGGAAGCCGTGATGCTGTCGACGCATCTCGCTCTGGAATATCATCAAGTGATAAAAGTAAATATTATCGAATTGATCGAAGATGATGACAAAGTAGAAACAGATGAAATAGCATCCCCATTGTTTATCAATATCTTGGGTGATCTACCGTTGCTTCAACCAAACATTACTTTGGTGACCAGCACCGATCGCTTCGATTGCGTTACTCTTCCTTCGAAAATCACAGTCTCGCAATCAAAGAAGTTGTCGAATGACGATAATGCGATGTTAATCACAGTATATAATATGTTTACGAACAACAAAAGCAAGACCTTAAAAAAAATTTTACCGGCGTTACAAAACAATGGATTCTTATTAACACGAGAACAGTCCTTCACGAAAGACGACATTGCGACTGCCGAAAAGTACGATTTAGCAGTAGTACTTGAGAAACGCACGCAGAAAGAGCACATTATACTGCTAAAAAAGAGAGAACAGTCAACAAAAAAAATTGAAGTTATTCTCGTAAACAATTACGAGTTTTCTTGGTTAGAGCAGCTTAAATCGATCTTGAACGCGAAGAACGAGTCAAGAAACGCTGCAAAAATAATTTTAGTCAGCGAGAAAAATTCGGAATGCGGCTTGTTGGGCCTCGTCAACTGCTTGAGGAGAGAACCAGGCGGCGAATCGATCAGAGGAGTGTTTATTCAAGACGAAACTGCACCGGAGTTTTCTTTGCACGAGCCATTATACGCGGACCAACTCCGGATTGATCTTATCATAAATGTCTTACGTCCGGGTAAAACATGGGGTTCATACAGACATCTTCCGTTAGCGCCGCTGACACCAAAGCTCGTGTACCACGCATTTGCCAATCAATTGGTATAAATGTTTCATAAATAAATATAAAAAATTATTCTTGCAG